TGAATTCCAGTAAAAAATCGCGGTTTTTGGGACATATAAATAGTTTTTTTTGTCTGTGTTAATTAGTTATGGTTAAAGGGCAAAAAAATATAATTCTATAAGTATTCTTTTGCGGGCAACGCGTTTATTTGGTAATTTTTTTGTTTAACTAATTTTAGCAATTGTTGTTTTTCTCTAGGAGAGGTAATAAAAGTTATCGCTTTTCCACTAGCGCCAGCTCGGCCAGTGCGACCAATACGATGGATATAAAATTCCGGGCTTTGAGGAAAGTCATAATTGATTACGTAATCAATATCATCGACATGAATTCCGCGAGCGGCGACATCGGTAGCAATTAGGATCAAGAATTGTCTATTGCGAAATTTATTTAAAACTCGAGTTCGGCGGTTCTGAGAAAGGTCACTATGAATATAATCTACTCGCATCTCTTTGCTTCTGAGTAAGTTTCCAATTTCTTCTACTTTTCTTTTAGTATTAGCAAAAATCAAAATTAATTGAGTTTTATTAAGGTGAAGAAAATGAATCAGATTTTTAGATTTTTGTCGTGAGGTAGTGTCTAAATAATATTGTTGAATATTGTTTTCTTCATTCTTTCCTTTTTCTCCAATAATGGTTTGCGGATTTTTTAAAAAGCGACGAGAAAATATTTCTATATCAGGAGAAGTAGTAGCTGAAAAAAGCAAGGTTTGTCGTTCTGTTGGAGCCATTTTAATTATCTCTTTAATATTAGCTAGAAAGCCTTTATTAATCATTTCGTCGGCTTCATCGAGAATGACAAATTTTAAGTTGTCTAAACGAAGAGTTTTTCTAGTGAGATGATCGATTATTCTTCCGGGTGTTCCGATCACCACATCAACACCAAAACGAAGTGATCGCAATTGGTCTTTTATAGATGTACCTCCATAAATTGCTAAAGTTCGTAATTTGAGATGCTGAGAAAGTTTTCTAGTTTCTTCATTGACTTGATGGGCTAATTCTCGAGTTGGTACCAAGACGAGAACTTGAGGATAATTACTTTTTTTTAGATTTTCGAGAACTGGAATGATGAAACTGGCAGTTTTTCCTGTGCCAGTTTGCGATAGACCAATAATATCTTTTCCGCTTAACGCCAGTGGGATAACTTTTTCTTGAATGTCAGTTAATTTGCTATATCCAATCGCTAGTAAATTTTTTTTCGTTTGTTCTGATAATTTAATGTTTTCTAAATTCATTTTGGGTGGTTATACCATCTTTTTCAAGCGTTTTCAATCACTGCTATCTAGCATAGAACTTTTCTGCAAATGTCTTTTTTGCTTGGTGGATTTATTATAAGCATGGTGGTGGGTATAATTTGGTCAATATTTTACTTTACCTTTTGAGAGTACTTTAAGACGCTTAAGGAGTGCCTTTTTAGAACGAAACTTTATGGATGACATATATTACTTAGTTATTATGATTTATTGACGTATTACTTTTTCTTATAGAGGAAAAACCAAAATTTGCTAGGAAGTTGACGAATACTACCCTTTAATTCAATTTTACTAGAATAATTTTGTAGTCTCTCGATTATTTGTTGACATTTCTCCCGAACTACTTCCGGATGAGCCTTTTCTTTTCCAACCATAATTAAGTTTAATTTTACCATCGCACCACTTTCTAATCATTTTTGAACTTTTTCTAATTTGGTCTTCAAATCATTCTCTTCAATATTAAAAGAAAAGCCCATTTCTTTACTACTATTTTCTTTTTTAGGTTTTTTGTTTTTATTTAATTTGAAGAAATGTTTTTGGTAATTAATTAATTTGCATACCGGGGGGTTAATCTGAGGAGCTACACAGAAAAGATCTAGATCTGCTTCCTTTGCTCGATTCAAGGCTTCTTGAATAGAAATAACCTCTTTTTTATTCTCGCTTACTAATAAGACTTGAGAAAAGGGAATGTTTTGGTTGAGGAAGCTAGAATCATTCGCTATTTTTTTGTTTTTTTCAATCATTCGCTATTTTTTTCTTAATTTATTAATTTTTCTTTTAATCTTTGGCACAAGTCTTTTTCCTCTAATTTTTCTTCTTTAGTGGTTGGAGAGTAGGTATATGTTAATTTTAACTTTTTTTCCTCTAATTCTTTCTTACCGATTACTAAATAGTAGGGAATTTTTTGTTTGTATACTTGACGGATACGGTAGTTAAGGGTTTTTTCCGCAAAAATTTTGGTTCGTAGACCATTCTTGACTAAGTTTTCTTTTAAATTTTCGCAATAATTTTTAGTTGCTATTTCCCCGTTTAGTGGTAAAATAGCAATTTGACAAGGGCTTAGCCAAAAGGGCAGTTTTCCTTCCGTTTGTTCTATTAGTAGGGCAATAAATCGTTGATAGGAACCAATCGGAGACTGATGAATAATAACTGGGGTTTTTCATTCTTGCTTTTCATTAATGTACTGTAACCCGAATTTTTCCGGAGTAGGAAAATCGAGTTGCATGGTAGCGAGAGTAATAATTTTTCCATCAGCAGGTTGGACTTCAATGTCTAGTTTTGGTCCATAAAAGGCAGCTTCTCCAGGTAAAAGAGTGTAATTTAATTTTAATTCCTCTAAGACTTCTTTTAGAATTTTCTCGGCTTGATTTCACAAACCTTTATTGGAGTGATATTTTTGCCACTTGTCTGGATCATGAGTAGAAAGAGCCAAACGAGTAATTTTTAAACCAAAAGTTGCTAAAATTTGGGAAATGTAAAGGTAGTTAGTTTTCAATTCTTCCTTTAGTTTATCAAAACTCACAAAGATGTGGTGATCAGGTAATTCAAACGTTCGCAGTCTTTCTAAGCCTTTCAAACCTCCGGAAGCTTCATAACGAAATAAAAGTGAATTTTCGCAGAGGCGCAAAGGTAATTCTTGATAAGAACGAGGTTTTTGTTGGTAAATTGAGCAATGATGCGGACAGGTCATGGGACGCAAGCGGAGATTTTCGTTGTTTCGACTAATTTTAGGAAACATGTATTCTTCATAGTGAGCCAAGTGCCCGCTGATTTTGTATAGCTCTTCGCTCCCTAAGATTGGGGTAATCACTTCTTGAAAATTAAACTCTTTCTGTTTTGCTTGAAAATAATTTTTAATTTGGTTGTGAATGATGGTATAGTTAGGTAGAAGAAGTGGTAAACCTTGCCCTATTTTCTCATCAGAAAAGTATAATTCTAAGTCCTTGGCTATTTCGCGATGGTCTAGTATTTTTTTTTTTTCAGACATATAATAACAATATTAGTAGGTTAAAAGATAAAGAAAAAAAACGAAATTATTTATGAAATGAAAAACTATTGGGAAAGTTAAATTTCAGTTACTCTTTCGATAGACGTAAATAAAGAGCCAACTGATAAATCAGTAGCTAGCAAATAAGTTTCTAAATCCTTCTCAAGTAAAGGAAAAGTAACCACTGTGCATAAAGATGAAACCAAAAAAAGAAAAGATATATGGAGTTAATTTTTTTTTGTTAAAGTTCTCAAAAATTAGGTAGCGAAAAAAACATTCTTCAGCAATAGGTGCGATTAAGCAAGAAAAAAGAAAAAAAAGCACTGGTGAATAGTTAAAGGGATTAGTGAAATTTGTATTCAATTGGGGTTTAACACTAAGAAGAATTATTAAATCGAGGACGAAATACATTACTAATCAAGCCCAGATTTTTTTATTATTTTTTTTTCTAAAAGAGGAACTAATTTTTTTTCATTGTTTAGGAATTACCCAACAAGCACAAATTAAAAAAGGTATTTGTATTACGAAAAGTCATCAAAAATACTCCAAAATTTTTCCATCCATATGTAATTGTATTTTAGGAGTATTGCTTTGCAAACTTTGTTTTTAGTCAAGAGTGATCTTTATAGGCAAAGTTTTCCGCTGATTTTTGAAATTTGTATTTTTAATATCATTTGCTTGCTTTCCTGTCTTGGCTGTTGCGGTAAACTAGGTATGCTATTAAGCCGATGAACATGGCAGCGATAAAAGTTAACACTCCTATTTTTTGTGGCTTAGTAAGTTTTTCTCAGTTTGAGACTCTTAATTTATTGTCTTTTTCTCATTGGTGGACGTGTTCAGGAGAGCAAAATTTTGATTTTTCCTTTTTTTGATCATAACTGCTAGTGTACTGAGTGCCATTAGAAATTTTTCCGCATTTTTCACAAACGAATTCTT